AGAAATTATTTCTGATTTCATTTTTTCCAGATCCCCTTTTGTTGCCAGTTCAGTGGGTCCAGGTGGTTAAGTATCAGAGTGTTCCATCTCATTTCCCTTTGGAGTTGCTGTAGGTGATCTGGAATTCTGGTTTTGAGACTTATTTACTTGTTTACTCATTTCAACTGGGGCGGGGGGGGTGTGCTGTTAACGCCTGCACGGATTACCTCCTCTTAGCTGGGAGAGGTGGGACAGGGGCCAGGAGCAGCGGTAGGGATGGTGACCCAAGAGCCTTTTCCTGTTTGCTGGGAGCAGCGGGAGGGATGGTGGCCGGGAAGCCCCTTCCTCTGGACCAGGAGCAGTGGGACAGTGGCTCAGAAACCCCTACCTCTGGGCCGGGAGCAGCAGGACTCAGTACCTTGGTCTGGTGTTCTGGTGTCCTCTGTGTCTTTGTAGCGTGGAACCAGGTGACTGCCTGTTTGCAGCGGGGTGATTCAGCATCTTCCATGTGACTCGGGACCTCGGTAGGGCATGCACAGACCTGCCCGTCTGCAGTGGGCTGATTTGGGGTGTTCCGCGCAACTCTCTTGTGTAATATTTTTAACGACAGTGTTAAGTTCATGTACACTTCAGTATTTTTGTTCACTTTAAGTAAATTCACGGAGATCTGGAAGGCTTATGCTTCTTTGAGAAATGCTTTTTGTCTTGGATTTCAGCTCTGCTGTGTCTCAACAGGAGTCAGACACCTCCATCTGGTGGCCCTGGCATAAAATTTCCATGCTAAATTCTTTTTAAGATTTTCTAAATTTGTATTGAGTTTTGAAGTTCATCATTCATATTGAAAATGAATTTCCCATGTGGAAGTATATCATGTTTAAAATAATTAACAGTCTTTAAGGAGCTAAGTGTTGACTCATCTGTATCTAATCATGAAACACCAGACCTTCTTATAGCCAGTGGAAATAGCATCCCCCCTCACCATGTCTCTGAAGAGAAAAAATAGTTTTTTTATGTTGCTTGATTTTATAAAACTATAACTCCTTCACATTGATCCATGTACAACTCTTCATAAAATTCTATTTTATCAGCCTATTATTAAGTATTTAGTAAGGAACAAGATCAAAAGCCTTGTTTAACCAAGATATGTTATCCCTTTTGCTTTATCATTATTTATCAAATTAATTCCTTTATTTTAGAATTTAAAAAACAAATTTAAACCATTTTGGTCACTGTTTTTCCTTAAGAATCAATACTACAGTTTACTCAAAATGCATAAAATGAGATTATGGTAGATTTCTTTTTCCTAATGTCTTTAGAATACCAATAAAAGCGGCATTATAAGATTTTAGGGTTATTTGTTATTTAACTCAATTTATAATGAACATTTTTCAGTGACTAAACATCTTTTCTCTGTATATTCTTTACTACAAAATTGTTCTGTGCTAGCCCACCTTTGCCTCCAAAGCAATTTTTTCTCTTCACAATGATAACCAGGACTCACATTTATTTTTTAAAAATGATAAGCTAATTAATGTTATGTTTGAACAAAGCCTTTGATTAATTTTATTAAATTGAAACATTTAAGTAAAACAAGAGCCCCTTCTTAATGGATGTATGATGCAAATTATTTTCAGGGGTTCAGTTGTCTTATAAGGTTTCTGATTGTATATTATGTATAATGATTAATTTCTTTTCTTGTGTAGTATTCATAAAGATATTTTATTTTTATTTGCTGTGATTTCCCATACATATATATCTTAGCCTCATGTCAAGTGACCAACTAATTCTCTATCCCTGTAATTCTCTGTATTTTGTATTAGGACTATATTTCCATCATTAACTTATTCTTTTTGTTCACTCATTTTTTTTCTCTTGAATCATATGAAGAAGCACTCTGTGACCACTGCCTATTGTCTAATAAAACTTCCACTTTCGGGAAAAAAAAGAGAATAAACACATTCTTGCCTTTAAAATAAAAACAGTGTATTACTTTTCAGAATGGTTATACATCAATATAATAGAAAAGAAAATGTCCCTTTCCTTTTCAGAGGCGAGCTGCTGATAATCTGAGAAGACATCACCAATATCAAGTAAGTTATCCTTATATTATACTTTGAAATTTGCATTAAAATAAAACCCAGCCCTGTTCAGAACTAACTCATTAGAAAAGTCCTATGTATGCACTGAATATCAATACTGTTGTTCTAAAATACCTCAGGAGGTAATGAGGAATCTGGTGAAGCGCTATGTGGCAGCCATGATTAGAGATGCTAAAACTGAAGAAGGCCTGACCGAAGAGAATTTTAAGGTAACCATTTTTATCTTCATAACAATGAGAGGCAGAGTTGGCAAACTACAGAACCAGACACAGCACATTTAGAATCAGTGCTGGAAACTCAGCCATGTGTTCTAGCAGGCATGTGTCCCTTCTGCTTTTTAAATTAAAGTCTTATTGAATTTTTTTTGTTTAAAATAAAAAAGTAAATGATGAAATTTCTTCTCAAATTGTTCTGAAACATACTTCACCCAAAATGTCAAGGGGACTTACCTTGGAGACAGAGAAAATCCGTTTGCCTCATGGCATTCTGACTCACTGATCCCAGCAACGCTCTACTGAGTGAGCTTTAGTATTTGATATTTCATCCTGATTTCTATATCCGAAACATTTAATAACCAACAAGCTAGCAACAAAAGCTTTCTGGGTGCTTGGAACACTTCTGTAGCAGAGAATTTAAAGTTTGAGTTTAACTGTAACATAAATTCCATCTTTCTATTTGTTTCCTCTTTTTAAAATTCTGTCACAAGAAATAAATAAAAAATAAGAAATATTATATGCTGAAAAAATATACAAATTAACTTTGTTATTCTATGTGAATATTTAGAGACTTTGGAAGAATGCTTTCGGGTCAGTAAGATCTTACAAACAAAAACAAACACATTTTGAAAAATGTAGGAGTGCTTTACAGAGAAAGTTCCTAGTTTGGCAAAGAGAACAAAAATAAGAAGCCAGTTAAATGAAAAGATAGATAAATTGCTAACCTGAAATCACAGATTATTAATTAACCAAGATTCAAAATATTCTTTGGAACCACAAAATTCCAATTATTTAGTTAAATGAGTCAAGTTACTTTAAGAGACAGGTTGCGAGGGAGGAGACCACCAAGAAACCCGCCTTCAATTTAAGGCTGAAAATTCAGTTGCCCAAAGAGATAAGAGAAATAGATGAATCTAGAAGTTTAATGGGAAGCAATTCTTAAGGCTGAGAGGCTGATATAGATCTTGGAGTTAGGTCCACACCAAGTTCCTAAAACACTGAAAGTAACTAACATTCTTAGAAGTGTAGGTTCCACTTTATTTTATTTTGGATATCCAGGTAGTCATAAAAATCTGCATTATTAAAAATTGCTTTCTTGAGAGAAAATGAAGTGATTTGACAACAGATGAATATTTTGAAGAAGAAATATTTGTAACTGCAGTTCCAAAGAAAAGTCATAGATTCAACTACTCAGTATTGAAAAGGGTCATTCCTCTTGTTTCTTCTGACATCATCCATAGGAAGCATTTTTGTGACTACCTAATTCCAAAAGGGAGATTAATAAACATCAAAATGATACCCAGTTCCAGAGAAGGAACTAGAAATTCTAAGTAGATCCACCATGGTGTAGGATCTTGGTTCTTAAAAAGGAGTAGAAACATTTGTGATCCATTTCTGAAATTAGAAAGTGATGTTTCTCAATGTTTATTTAAATAGTAATGTAATTTATCATTTTAAATTTCATTTAGGAACTAAAGCAAGACATTTCTAGCTTCCGCTTTGAAGTTCTGGGATTACTCAAAGGAAGCAAATTTTCTACCACACAATCTGCAAATGCCACCAAGGAGTCTTCGAATTCAGCAGACTCAGATGAAAAGAGTGATAACGAAGGTAATGGCAAGGACAAGAAAAGGCATTTCAGCCTTTTTGATTTAACCACTCTGATCCATCCGAGGTCAGCAGCCATTGCCTCTGAGAGACATAACATAAGCAATGGCTCCGCCCTGGTGGTGCAGGAGCCACCAAGGGAGAAGCAGAGAAAAGTGAATTTTGTAGCTGATATCAAAAACTTCGGGTTGTTTCATAGACGATCAAAACAAAACGCTGCTGAGCAAAACGCAAACCAAATCTTCTCTGTTTCAGAAGAAGTTGCTCGTCAAAAGGCTGCAGGACCACTTGAGAGAAATATTCAGCTGGAATCCCGAGGATTAGCTACACGGGGTGACCTGAGCATTCCTGGTCTCAGTGAACAGTGTGTTTTAGTAGACCATAGAGAAAGGAATACGGACACACTGGGTTTGCAGGTAGGCAAGAGAGTGTGTTCCTTCAAGTCAGAGAAGGTTGTGGTGGAGGACACTGTACCTATCATACCAAAGGAGAAACACGAGAAGGATGAGGACTCCAGTATAGACTATGATTTAAACCTCACAGACACAGTTGCCCATGAAGATTACGTGACAACCAGATTGTGATACTTGAATGAGGGAGCGTTTGTCATACATATACATATTTCCCATGATGCTCTGTCTGGGTGGGGGGAAATGTTTAAACTTAAATTAGCAAATGCTAACTTACACTTTACAGCGTTTATCAACTGTGGCATATTAACCTGTAACATGTTTAAGGCAAAGGCAATCAAGAACCTTTCAGTTTTATGGCCTGCTTTTGCTTCCACAATTTGTTCTACAATTGTTTTTTGTTAATAAATAAATGCACCTTGTATTCTTGTACTGTTGCAATAACCCACAGAGAATTTTTAGCTATCTTTTTCAATTAAAACAAATGCAATTTATTTCATGTTGTAGTTTACTCCTCTAATAGATATTTTTTATATGCAAAAAATAATGTAGCTAAAATATTAGTTTAGTGCTTTTCATAATTTAGGGGGATCTCTAGAGATGATTATTTTTTGAGAACCTTCCACCCAGTTCTACAGTTTGGCTTTGAAACACATTATTACCAAATTATTTCTTAAGAACACATAAAGCACACTGTTAAAGCAAGGAAGCAGGCTTCTTTCTCTGGTGGCAGGGGGGGTCATAACCAAGCCCTTTCTTAAAATGAAAACAAGGTGTGTGTTGTACAGACAGGTTGTCCTAGGGCATCATTTCAATAAGTAAAAGAAGTGTTTGTCTTAATAAATTTTGATGATTCATGATTTTTAACATTTTGTCCTAATAAAACATGTCTCCAGTTTGAAAGAACAAATTATTTCAATTTCAACTGTTATCAGTATAAATATGAGCTTTTGTAAATAACTAGGCTTTAAAAATGGAAAAATTGCTGTTATAGAAAATAACAATAAATTAAAATAGTTTAAAGCACTGAAAAAACACCATTGCATACCCTTAATATCCAGATGAATATGAATTTATTCTAACATCGTAAACTTAGGCCAACTTGAATTCTAATATGCTCAATCATACAATATTGTTGCCAACTCAAAGGACGTGCAGGAACCTAGTAGTTTCCTCTTTTTCCCTCAGTGAGTGGTACATACTTTTAAAAATTAAAATCACTCAACTATCATTATTAATTGTATCAATTGATATAAATATGGTATATATTCTTCCCTGAAGGAAAATTTTAATTTTTGTTTTTTCTATTGTTTGCAAGGTAATTTCACTTCCTTTACAGAACTATTAAAAGGAAAGTAAATATTCATACTTTATGTAAAAGTATTGATGGTTTCTTAAAATTTAAGTTGTATAACTTTTTTATTTAAGCCACCATCAAACATTTTCTCACTATGTGCAATTAGCATTGTTTTAAAACAACAGAAAAATACTGAGTTTATTTTACTTCAAAAATTACCTTTATGTTCTAGAAAAATTACATAATTTATCATTCTCCAAAAGTGTATATATTCTTGTCTTCATTTTACTGATGATGAAACTGACACAAACACTGACTAAAGAAATACAAGGAAATGAAACTGTGATATGTTCTCAGATCCTACCTTTAACTACTGCCTCTCAGAACATAAACACACCAAAAAAATAGAGATTGTTATTGTCAGTTCTGAAATGCTATACTTTAAGGGAGAATGAGTGTGGTAAGCTCCTTAAATGTGTGTCCTTTCTTATAAGATAAGAGGTACATGCAAAATTAAAGATAATTTAACTTGATTATTTGATTCTTTGGACTCAATTAAATCACAAGAGTTAGAAGATATAAAAGAATTCAGCAAGGGATTTCATATATTAACACCAAATAGTAGAAATTAGATTTCAGAGCAGCTAGAGCTGCTGTTTAATCTTAAGTCTGCTTTTGTCCTGGAGATTTTGGAATGAGCAGTACAAGTCTAAAGAAAGACAGGCTTACTGAATGTATGTATTGGTTCAAGTATACTGTTATCTCAAGGACATTACAGTAAACCCAGGGGCTACTGACATGCTCACTTTTTTCACAGTTAAACATTTGAAAGGAGAATTATAGGTTTATTCTTAATGTTTCAGATTTTTTACTGATTTTTTTTATCTCTGTGTTTGTGGGTGTGTGTGTTTTCAAAGACCTTAAATGACTATTATAACTATCTTACCAACACTTACTGTCAAATTTCCTCTGCCCATAAAACAACAGCAACAATAGTAAAAGCAACCCAAAACATTTTTCTCCAGTATCTTATACCAAGGACCGGGTGGTGACATCTTACATATGAACAGGGTGAAAAATCCAAGTATTTGTGTGTAGCAGGTATTGACCTGCATTAGTTGCCAAGAAATGATGATTCGCACAACCCTCAGATGTTACTGACAGATGCTTTCATGAGTATGAACAAAATATTGGATTTGTTAACACCAGAAATCCTAGAATTAAAAATTATTCTAAATATGCAGTGATATTATGTAGTATTAATGGAGATGAAAAGTAAGGATAGAATAAACAAGCCTAAATAACATTGAAATTACAAGCAAAGAGAGGTATTTTTGGGAGGCTTCAAATGTGTAATGTGAGGTTTCTTTTCATTTCTGTGCATATTTCTAGCCATAACAATCCCTAACACAAAAGACAAATCTGAAGTCACCTTCTGTTTGTATATTTATGTTTTATGTCCTCTTGATCTTTAAAAAATATCTTTTAAAGTATTTTTATTTTTTTGCCTGAAGTGGAGGAATATCTTGAAAATTCAGTTGAATGTAATATAGGTGAGGTTAAGTTCACAGGTATGTTTTAGAAGCCACATTTATTAGAAAGTATACTATAAAACTGTATCTCACTGTTTGAGATGATTGTTTTCCAGAAAATTTCTGTGTAAAATATTCTAATCAACTTCAGTAGGGAAACTAGCCATGTTAAACAAAAAAGTAATGGCCGATTATTTTGTAAATGTTGAACTATTTTTCAAAGTGATAATCATCCTCAAATTGTATCTGTTTCATAAAATTAATACATGTGTATAAAACATTTTTAAATTAGATATTTTATTTACTGGTGGCAATTAAAGTAGTGCAAAAAACATCCTCACTTTCTTGCCTTGACATTGATAACAATTTGATGTACTCCTTTGCTCAAACACAAAGATTCAAACCATAAAATTTCATGGGAAACTTGTGGAAAATAATGACAACAGTGATGCAACATGAAGGATAATGCAACTATCATGCTATTGTCAAAGAACCAAAGTCAATTTTCCAGTAAATGTGAAGGGAATATAAGAAACAATGGTTTAACAGAATGTCTTCCGAAGATGCAATAATTCTTCATAATTATCAAGTGAATGATTGTCCAGGCCCATGACTCTTTACTAAAAAGCAGTCTCCAGCACTAAAATCTGGCCATTCCTCACCACTGAGGTTTGTGATTGCAGCAGAATATTCTGCAGTGTAGATAGCTGCACTCGATGCTCAGCATTCTTAAAAATTAAGCTAGCAAAAACCAGCCATATGTCTTTATAAGTATGTCTACAAGTATTCGAATTTCAAAAGACCAAATGTCCAAATTTATTTCCCCATTCTGAAAGTTATTTTTCTTATTTTTATTTTCTTAAAGTCTCTAAAATTCAGACCTATCAATAAAGAGAGAATTTCACAATGTAATATTTTGACAACCCCCTTTCAATTCAACTTTGGAAACATTATTTTAATTATTTTACAATGCCTTTGGTTTCTGTAGTATTGTCACATGCATTATTTTATGTAAGTATTTGTGTGGTATTAAATTTACATTTTCCACAAGTACCTGGGGAAACTAAGGCTTGGAAGATCTACATCAAGTGTCTAAATTCACCCTTAATCTGCTCAGGATGAAGTGGAACTTAGACAAACAAATGAACAAATGAAAGAATCCAACTATGCATCAAGATATTTAGATGAGCTATCAGGTCATAAACACTTCAACTAACAAAGTTTTATTTAGAAAAAATTTTGTCCTTTTTGCCTTCCCCTTAAATAGAAGATATTTATAGTTATTCAAATAATTCACAATTAAAATTCAGGATCAATATCATCTTATCTTTTCTTTTCCTACAAAATTGAGTTAAGATTTTTAAAAAGCTGACTCATTATAGTTTCCTAAAAATGCATAATTTATTTTCACATCAAATGTTGATTTTGTGATAATTCTGTAAATACATAGAGATGATAAAATGCATTAAATGCTATTAAAGCTGCCCCACTGGAAAATGAAGTTGGACAATGAGAATCTGAACCAAGACTGATACCACAAGACCAGAGATGGAGACAGCCATACCCTCTCTGGACTAACAGCTACTGAAGGCATCTCTGCAGGTGGAATTGACCAGTACAAAGCCTTCAGTTTCCTCTAGAGCTACAAGGTATCTCATACCCATGTGTGACTACTAAAGGCTTGCAGTGGGGACAGTCTGAATTAATACATGCTATAAGTGTAACATACACATGAGTTTTAGAAATGCACTACAAAAATTATATAAATTATCTAACTGGTATTTTATATTGGTTACATGTTGAAGTTATAATATTCTCAGAGAAGCAAGTTAAGATATATTAAATAAATTCACTCATTTCTTTTTACTTTTTTAATCTGGCTACTAGAAAATTGAAATACATATGTAGACTTCCTTTGTAATTTGTAGTACATTTGCATTTGACAGTGCTGATCTGGAACGTTTATATTTGTTCACTTGATTCCTACATTTGAATTACATAGGTAAAATTGATGTATTTTAATTACCAAAAAGATTGATGTGGAACCACTAAAATTTGCACTGCCTCTTTGATTCTCAATCTCCCAAAGGAATCACTGCTAACAATTTGCTGCTTTTCCACATTTAACCTTTATCTTGGCAAATGTACTACAGTATAAATATATATGCATATGTATAGGTTATAGATTCTGTTATTGTTTTTATTTCAATTGGATCACACTATACTTATAGTATAGCATGTATTAGTAACCATTTTTATTCTAACAGTGTATCATGGAAATCTTTTCTAAATTAATGGAATATAGTGGAGCCATTTGAATGCCTTTAATGGTTATTTTATCTACTTAGATATATTCACATCCAGTTTTTACCACTGTGGAAGAGCTTCTCATTGGTGAACATGCATATTTCTCAGTGATGAGGAGTATTTAACAGACGCCAGGGTGCTTCTGAAAAGCAGGCGTGCTCACTTCTTACTCTGATTGTAGTGTTGCAGAGCCCTCTATTTTTCCATGCTTCAGTGCCAATTCTAGAGCGTGAGCACAGGTTTCATAGTGACCCCAGTTCATTTCTCCACCTCATCCTCTCACACCACTGCTTCAGCTATGCTGAACTTCTGTTAGCTCTTCAAGACTTACTGTTGTTCTTTTCCCTAACACCTATGAAACCTTTCTTCCATCCTTGAATAAGAATTGTACCATACATCCTTGAATAAGAATTTTATTACTACAAATATTTTTTAATCATGGATTTTAATTAATTCCAATTGACTTATTTTTCCGGGTTTTTTTAGTTTTAATTGTTTTTACTTTTTGTTCAAGATTATCTCATCTTATCAATAATGAGCCAGGTTTCATATTCTGCGGATATGAGGAGATATATCAAAATGGTTGTAGGCACCAATATATTTTGAGTGGTTTAACTTACTCCCAGAAAAATAACACCATGCTTATTTAGCATATGGGTGCAAAATGCTTTGTGGTCCAGGGGAAAGCACAAAGTTGGTGTCTTTTCATAGCTCCTGTGTGGTTACTGTAATTAGGACACTTCAACATTTTAGGTTTGTTGCTGGTATTTCAAATTTCTTGATGAAATTTTCCAATATATCTTTGAAATATGGAACTATAGTACAGTAACAAATAATTAGGTAGTGAAAGATGTAGAAAAAAATTAATGAAAGTTATTTCTTCCACCTTCTTTTTAAAATTAAACTTAAAAACTTTTGGTATCTATAGGGAACTATATATACAGGTGAAATAATGCAGAAGTATTTCATATATCATTTACCTGTTTTCTCCCTTTGGAAACATCTTTCAAAATTGTAGTACAAGACCAAAAGAAGTTGATTATTTAGAGTTTCATAATTTTACTTTTGTTTGTAGTAATAGAGATGTGTCAGTGCTTGGTGCTATATACTTTGCATATGTATGCTCATGTATCTACAACCACAGTCATGATACGGAAAATTTCCCTCACCACAAGTATCCCACACATTGTCCTTTT